CAGAGCAAGATTCCATCTCAAAAAAACCAAAACAACAACAACAAAAAACAGACCCTACAGGTAGGTGGATACTCAGATGTGCCTCAACCAAAGCAGGCTCAGTGATTTCTTGGTTTCCTGGGCATGGGAGTGTGCGTGCACATCTATCCGTGTGTATGCATGTGTGTGAGAGCATGCATTCCTGTGCATATATGTGCAGGTGTGGACTGGTAGGGTCAGCTCTCTGCCTTCACCCAGCTGAACCTCCTTCATTCATTCTAATATCTAGTATCCGTGGTGATGGGTGCGCTGGTGAATTTGATTGTGGTTATCAGCCAGGCACGGTGGCCTACGCTTGTAATCCCAGCACTTTGGGAAGCCAAGGCGGGTGAAGCACCTGAGGTTGGGGGTTCGAGACCAGCCTGGCCAACATAGTGAAACCCCGTCTCTACTAAAAATACAAAAATTCGCCAGGCATGGTGGTGCATGCCTGTAATCCCAGCTACTCGGAAGGCTGAGGCAGGAGAATCACTTGAACCTGGGAGGCGAAGGTTGCGGTGAGCCAAGATCATGCCACTGCAGTCCAGCATGGGCAACAAGAGTGAAACTCCATCTCAAAACAAGAAAAAAAAGATTGTGGTTATCATGGCATAATGCATGGGTATAACAAATTATCACATTTTATGCCCTGAATATGTACAATCTTTATCAATTAAATTTAAAAAAGAAAATGCTTTCTTTCTGACACCTCCTTTGTAGGCTCTGTTTCCTTTACTTAGCTTTGAACAACTGTGAAGGCAGAGGCTGGGTCCACGTGACCTGTGCACCGAGGACCAGGAACGGGGCTGCCAGATGTGAGGTCTTCAAAATAATTTATTGATGCACAGAGGAAAGCGTGATGCAGAGAATTGGGCTTAGCTGTCAGCTGGGTGTGTATAGCGCAGTCTCAAGGTTAGCACATGACTTCTGGGACGGTCTTTGGGGTCAGCAGGGAAGATAATTACAGCAGTCTCTGGGATCACTGGAGGTTCACAGGAGACACCTGGGACCAGTTTGCGGGCTGCGTCACTACTCAGGAAATCAGCTGACTGGCGGTAGCTGGGTCTCTGGAAATAGCCTGATGGCTGTAGCTGGGCCTCTAGAAAACGCAAGTGACTTTAGCGGGGTCTCTGGAAACAGCCAGGTAACTGTAGCTGGGTCTCTAGAATCAACTGAGAAACAGTCTGTCCAAGGAGCTGCTCAACTGTAGAAGGGACCAGCTGGCTAACGAGCCTTCTGCATGCTGGTTAGAAACCTCCAGTCTCCAGCTCTTGTCTCCAGGAGATCTGCCTGGGGGCCTTTCCAGACGAGGATGAGTCCAAGCAGAAGCCTTCCAAAGGGCTGCTTCAGCCTTTTCCTAGAGTCTCCAGGTGCAGAGGCCAGGTGGGCCTGCGGTCAGCGTTTGACAATGGCTGCGTACGTGCTGGCCTCGGCCAGGGGCTCTGTGGACTGTGGGGACACAGCCTGGGCTGTCCTGTGTGTGAGGGCCGTGTGGTCCAGCTGAGCATATGTCACCTCCTGGGGGCCTTCTGCAGTCGGGGCCTGGGAGAGAGAGAGCCAGGGTGAGGGAGAGGCTGGTAGAGGGTAAGGATGTGGGGCTGTGGGGATGGAGGGCTGGGATTGCCATCTCCATGGGCCCTGAGGACCCGCTGCTGAAATTGCATCCGTGTGAAGAGCCCACCCACAGGGTGTGAGGGTTGGTCTGTGTGACAGTAAACAAGGCAGAAGAGAAGACTCCTGACTTCCAAGCTGAGGCAAAAGACATTGTGTTCTGCCCTCCCCCCACCCTGGGGTCCCTCCCTCTGGGGGAAGCTGGCAGTGTGGAAAGGCCCCTGTGAGAGGAACACAGGCTTCCTGCCGCAGCTGTGGGAGTGAGCGTCTCAGATGTGGAGCCTCCAGCCCACAGGACCCTTCAGAAGCACACAGCCCTGGGCAACCTCTCGACAGCAACCTCAGCACAGACTGTGAGCCGGAACTGCCCAGCTGAGCAACTCCTGAATTCCTGACCCAAGGAACTGAGACTTTTTTCAAGCTGCTAAATTTGGGGTACTTTGATAATTAGCAGGAAGGCTCACCGACATGTTGGTCCCTCTGTCCTTCTCAGGAAGTGCATCAACTGTGGCCATGTCTGGGGGACAGGACACATGGTCAGTTTCCTGGGGAGGATGTCACAGGGCAAATCTGCCTGAGACCCCCCACTTCAGATGTCATCCTGCATCCAATCTATAATATGACCTTCTAGAATGTTCCTGAAGATTCTTCCCCTCTCCCCCTGCATTGCATCTGGATTGGCACCAAGTTCTCACTTCCCTGTCCCAGGCCTGTCCCTCCTCCTTCCCCTTTACCTGCTTTTCTCTCTAGAACATCAATGGCCAGGTTGGGCCTGAGAGGAAAAATAAAAATGAACATTAGGGGCAGCCTGGAGGCAGAGGACTGGATGGACGTCCAGGACTCATTCCCGGGGGCCTCACCTCTGCTGTGGCTTCTGCTCCTCATCCTTGCTTCTTGGGGGCCCTGAGGACAGTTGGGGTCTGAATTAAGGAGACCTTCTTCCTAGCATCTCCTGACAGCTTCCCCAAGTCACTCCACCCTACCCCTGGCACCTACCCTGCTTTATCTGATTCTGGCGATGGAGGAAGAAGAGGACCAGGAGGAAGAGACAAAAGAGGAAGACCACTGAGACCGCGATGAGAATATAAAGATGCTCAGCTTTCAGGCCTTGGGGAGCAGGGGCATCTAAGAAAGACAGAAACAAGTTTTCAGCAGTGTGTACTTATTGAGCACCTACTGTATACCACACACATGTCATGTGTGTGTCACAGACTTACTAATGTATCAAATCCCTCAGATAAATAATCGTCCCACAGCACAAGGATTAAAATCTCTCAGGGGAATAATGGTCCTGCAGCACAGGGATCATTTTCCCTTCTTCCACCACTGGGGTCCTGAGTGCTGGGTCCTCTGCATAGGGACACAGCCAGCCATTGGCAGAGCGGGAATCTGACAAACTCCAAAGCCTGACCTCTTTCGCCTTCCCCAAGAGGGACACACCAGGCTCATGCTCCACAGTCCCCAACACTCACGCTCATTGTTACCGTTGTCTGAAGGCCTTGGCGTGGGTCCTGGGAGGGAGGAATCAGGAGGTGGAGGCAGATCCCTGAGCTGGACAGAAAAGGTTCTGAGTCCTCCCATGCCCGCTGCAGGAATCTCCCTTCATTCCCCAGGACCCTGACCACTCCTTCTGGACCAGCACCCCGCCCAGCAGAGTCTTCTGTGATGATGGAAACTTTCTACATCTACTGTCCAGAATGAAAGCCACACGTTACTATTGATATTTAAATGGCATGAGAACCTAGCTGCACTGTCTGCATCTCGAGGGCTCAGTGACCACGCATGCCTAATGCCATCCCTATTGTACAGAGCAGTGTTAGACATCGCTGCTCTCTGCCCCCTGCGGATCTAGGCAGAGACCAGCCACCTGTAAGAAGAGGAAAAGAGCCCTTCCCTCCCTGACCTCCTTCTGGGTTCCCACCAGAATGCAAGAATCCCCATGTCTGATTTTATCTGCCCTAGCGGCAAACCCCTGATGGGGGATGTAACCCGCCCTCCTGTGGGAAGAATCCAAGGCCCGCTGTGCTCCTGTTTCCTGAAGGCCTGCAGCTAGCAGGCGAGTGTGTGCGGCACCGGCCAGGCTCCCTGTTCAGGGCTTGTCTGTCATCTCGATTATCCACCTTCCTCTGCACAGTGCACACCACTACCCACTTCACAGGTGACCAAACGGGGTCCTGCAGGGCTCTCCCAAACCCAGGGTCCCTCTTCCAGGAACAGCGGCCCCTCCCCTCCCCTGTCTGGAGGCAGGGACTTTAACATCCTTCAAGAAAGGTAGACATTCTCTCTTGGAGTGTCCTTCTCTCGTGCCTCCTCCAGGGTCCAAGACCCAGCACACTATGCCTTATTCTACACCATGACTGCCTGGGCTTGGTCTTTATAACATTTGCCACCATTTAAAAAATTACGTATGTACTATGTATGTGCCATATTGCACTTTTTATAATATTTATGGTTATATGTATCATGTATTATGCAAATGTATGATATATAACAAATATATATTTTTAATTATGTAGTCGACATGTACATGCTATTTAATGAATATGTTAAATGTATATGATTTATAATTACTTATATGTTACATATATTCACTATAATAATGTGTAATTTATATTGCTGATAAACCTATAATTAAATATAAAATGTTTTTCTATCATAATTATACATAATATATACATAATAGATAATATATATTTACATGAATTCCTATATTTATTAATTATAACACTTGAAATTTATTACACTATATATTGTAAATATATATTTCATATAACATATAATATTATAGTCATATGTAGTGATACACTAACATATTTTTATTATATAATTATGTTTCTTATATATGTAATATATGATGTAAACGTATTTAATATAATTTAAATTATAGATCTGAAATTGTACATTGCAAATCATATATTTTTATTTGTGTATGCATGTAAAGGGATATGTGCATTTCTATTACTCATTCTAACTATTTCTCCCCATTGAGGTTCACAAGGCGGGACGCCATTTCTTCTCATTCATGGTGCATCAAATCCGGAGGCTTCCATGCCTGGCACAGTCCCTGTGAGTACAAAATACTTCACCCTCCTTGGGAGTTTTCTAATCAGCACTGATGGAAGCACTGTGTGTACCTGAACTCAAGTGTCCCCTAAACAATTCTTTTTTTCTTTTGTTTTGAGATGCTCTGTCACCCAAGCTGGAGTGCAGTGGTGTGATTTTGGCCTCCTGGGTACAAGCAATTCTCTGCCTCAGGCTCCTCAGTAGCTGGGATTACAGGTGCCCACCACCACTCCTGGCTAATTTTTTAAAATATATTTTTGGTAGAGATGGGGTTTCACCATATTGGCCAGGCTGGTCTTGAACTCCCGACCTCATGATCCACCCGCCTCAGCCTCCCAGAGTGCTAGGATTACAGGTGTGAGCCACTGCGCCTGGCCTCCCCTAAATGGTTCTGCAGGGACAGCTTTTTCATTGCCTATTTTTCACATGAGGAATTTGGGACACAGGAGGTTTGTGTGAGTCACCGTCAGGCACAGAGCTAAGGGGTGGCAGAACCACCGGGACTTGAACCATGAACCCAGCAATCTGGCTGCAAGGAGGGTCTGTCCTTGTAACTTTTATATGTCACTGCATGAAAGATGAGAGGAGATAGGGAAGGAGAGGGAGACAAGGAGAGGGAAGATATTCCTGCAGACAGAAGGCTAATTAAAACCAGACGCTGGACTTGAACCAGGTCTGCTGGACTCAGGAGCATGTCCCACTGCACCCTGGCAGTCCAGGAGCCTCTGAGGGGGTCTGGATGGAGCACAGCATCACTCCTCCACCTCCCATGTGGCTTTAGCCCCTGGTCCCACCTGTCTGAGCTCAGAGCCCGAGCCTCACAGACTGTCACTGCTCTAGGTCAAGGACGACCACTCTAGCGATGGGAACACAGGTAGGGAAGGGTCTGTGGATGGCTTCTGACCCCTTGTCCTCGCCTGGGAGGTTCTGGTCACAGACCACAGCGGGAGATGGACAACTTGACACCCAGGGACCTGGGGCAGCTTTACTCCCCTCACAGAGTCCGGGGCAGAGCCAGATGGAAGGGAAGCCTCACATAGGTCCTCTTAAGGGACCTTACTCCACTGTTCAGGCCTCCCCTGGAAATCACATGCCAACAGGAGCCTCCAGGGTCCCTCTCCGGGTGCCCCAGGTTGGAAGGTGAGTTCTCAGTCGCTCGCAGGTGCAGAGCGGGGTGAATGGTGAGGACACGCCCACAAAGGGGCAGCGTGGAGCTCGGGCAAGCCCGGGAGTCTGGGGTGTGGCTGCCCGGGTGGGTGGCCCCTGCCCCTGCCCCTTCATAGCCTCCTGCCTTTGAGCAAGAAACTTGAATTTCTGCGTTGCATATTAGAGAGGAGGAGGAGTTAGAGAATCAGCTTAGTACCTCCGCCATAGAGTGGGGTTTGCATCCACGGTGCCTGGCGTGGAGTGAGGTTGCAGTCGAGGTACCATTGCTGCTGTGGTCTCTATGAGCATCAGCAACCTTGCAGAGCTGGGCAGTGTCAGTCCTTTCCCACGGTCTCCCTAGTCCTTGACTCCAAGCCCAGGGCCCAGGGCTGGACCCAGAGCTGCATCCCCAGCACAGATCCCGCTGTAATCCCCTCTTGCTGAGGAACATACTACTGACCTGCTGAGGAGCTGGGCTCTGTGCACCAGGAAGGGGAATGGGGAGAGGGGGAGTCGCTGTGGGGGAAGGGGGGTGGGTATGGGGGGAAGTTGGCACTCCCAGGGGTTCCCGTAAACAAGAGCTGGAGAAATATTTAGAACCATCCCATCCAACCTGCTCTCCTCCCCCGTGAGCCCCCTCCAAAAGCCCCATGTTCATCACACAATCCCAGACAATGTCCCCAAGACTCCAGAAAAAATGGGGAAGGGGACAGGAGGCTGGAAGAACACCGCTGCTTGGCCCATTCTGCCAGGGGACTGGTCACTCCCTCTGCTCCCCCGCCACACCAGCTCTGCTTGACCTTAGGGGACTCCTTTGAGGCCCTGGGGGGACATGAAAGTGGATTGGACTTTGACTCCAGGACATCTGTGCGGCTGAGCACACCCAGGGGTCCGTGTGGTCACATACCAGAGGATTTCCCACAGTACTGTCCAGCCCTGGTCAGGAGCCACCCCTGGACCCTGTGTTCTGCCCAATGGGAGATGAGCCACAGCAGGTGGAGCACATTCCCTGGGGCAGGTTCCGGCTCAGGGGAGAGGAATAACAAGAGGACCATCCATCCCGTGTGAAAAGACAGCCCCTTGTAGGGGGGCTGCCCCCTAATCTCTGGGAACCCACTCCCTACCCAGCCAAGCAGAGGCAGCTCTGAGCCCACCCGATGCTGGGCTGAGTGTCCAGGCCATCTGTGGCGTCCAGAGGGGACCAGGGTGCCAGGACCTAAGTGGGCGTGAGGGCAGAGGGGAGGTGTGGGCAGAGGGAGAGGAGGAGGGGAGGGCCGGGGAGTCAGGAGGAGGGCAAGGGTGGCCACAGAGAGAGGACAGCAGCTGGGACAGGGTCCAGGGACCTGAGGACAAGCTCGAGGGCAGAGCTGAGACCAGGGCAGGGCCCAGGTGGCGTCCTCACCTTTCACCATGAGCTCCAGCTGCTCACTGTGCTGAGACCATCTGGAAGCCTTATGATAGAGGCAGTGATAACGCCCGGCGCTGTCTTCACTCACTGAGTCAATGCGGAATGTGGCCTCTGACTCAGATGAAATAAGTTGAGACACATGCTTTGCATCGTTGAACATGGATCTATTCTCCCACTCCAGGCGGAATGTGTCAACTCCAGCCGGGCCCCGGCACACGAAAGTCACAGGGCTCCCCCGGGGGATCACAGTGCCTGGCTCAGCCGAGATGGAGGGTCTGGGCAGGGCCCCTAAGAGGGAAGCAGAGAAGGACTCAGTGTCCACTGTAGGAAGTCACCATGTCACACATGTCATTCACATCACAATTCAGGGTTTTTAGCAAATTTATACAGCTATGCAGCCATAACCACAGCCCAACTTTAAAACATTTCCCGCCTCCTGCACCTTCCACCTGTGTGTGAATTCTCATCACTGCGGAGTTATTCTCCCAGTGGACACTAAGGACCCTGAGACTTGCTCACAGTTTGAGCCCTGCTCAGGGTCACATGGAAAGAGTCAGAGTGGCCTGGGGCCCTTCGTGTCTGCTGCAGAGCCCAGGGCCACTTTCCAGAGGGACAGAGGGTGGGAGGGAGGCACAGCATCGGGAGACATGGTCACTCGTGAAGGACAGGGGACAGGGAAGTGAGGGTTCTGGAGATGATGGGTGCTGGGGCCTCAGGGCACTGGCTAGTCCCGGGATGGGACTGAGTGTGGGACGGGGGTTGCCAGACTCCTGTGAGGGTCTGGTGGGGGTAAGGGGGAAGCCCCCAGCCCTGATTTGCTTGAAGCAGCCCAGCCTGTGACAGGTCCCTGCTGCGAGTGCAAGTCTCTGGGTTTTCCTGTAAAGTTTCTGCTTTCTTCTCAGCCTAATTTGCATTTCCTTGTTATTAAGGCTCTTGGAAAACCCCATTTGTCTCTGGGCTTGGGATGGAGGAGGGAAGGGTGGGTGTGAAACCCTGAAACAGGAAAAGTTGTGTCAAAATCAGCAAAATCCCTGACCAGAGCAGAGAGCTGGCAAGGCTTCAATTCGCTCATCCATACTTCATCATTCTTTATGACTGACAAATCAAAACTGCATCTATTTAAGGTTTGCAACATGATGTTTTGATACAGGTATACATTGTGGAGTGGCTGAATCAGGCTAATTAGTATAACCTTAGTTTGCATGTTTTTTTTTTGTGGTGAGAACATTTAAAATCTGCCCTCTTCGCGGTTTTCAAGCATGCAATACACTGTGATTAATGCAGTCACCACATTGCACCCTCCTCAATTACTCCTCCTGTCTAGCTGAAATTTTGTGTCCTTCCGCCATCCCAAACCCACCCATTCGTCCAGTTCTCCTCTTAACCATATCTCAGTTGCTTGTCAATCTGTTTAAGGACGTTTTTCATGGGCTGCTGTTTCCACAAACGTGAGAGACACACACAGGATGCCTGCCCTTGGGAGGTGGACGTCTAGAAGGGAGGACAGATACTGATGGAAGAATTGTCCAAATCTGCAGCTGTGAACTGCAATCAGCTTCCTGTGGTTAGTGTGGGCATCTAGGGGCTGGTGGGCGGTGGAGCTGACCTCCTTGGCAAAGTCGGGGGAAGGGCTGTTGAGCTGAGAGCTGAGGGAGGAGTAGAAGCTACCTGAGCTGAGCAGACAGGACACCAAGGCACTCACAGTGGGAAAATCAGCCAGGGAATGTCGCTATAAAGGATACAAAGTTTTATTTAGAGAGGAGAAATCAACTCAAGAGATGTAATGTACAACACAGTGACTGTAGTTCACAGCAGTGTATTGCATTATTGGACATTGCTAATAGAGGTGATTCTAATGATTAGCACGGGAGGATTGTCTGCGTGACCTAGCTCGATGTAGCCGTTCCACGCTGTGCATAGCCCACCGCATCATACTGGACATGATAAATACATGCAGTTTTCATTGTTTTGTTTGTTTGTTTAGTTTTGCTTGTGGTTTTTCTTTTATTTTCTTTTTGTGTTTTTTTGTTTTTTTATACAGAGTCTCGCTCCGTTGTCCAGGCTGGAGTGCAGTGGCACAATATTGGCTCACTGCAACCTCCACCTCTGAGGTTGAAGCAGTTCTCTTGCCTCTGCCTCCTGAGTAGCTGGATTACAGGCACCCATCAGCACACCCAGCTAATTTTTGTATTTTTTTTTTTGAGACGGAGTTTCGCTCTTGTTACCCAGGCTGGAGTGCAATGGCGCGATCTCGGCTCACCGCAACCTCCGCCTCCTGGGTGCAAGCAATTCTCCTGCCTCAGTCTCCCGAGTAGCTGGGATTACAGGCACGCGCCACCATGCCCAGCTAATTTTTTGTAGTTTTAGTAGAGACGGGGTTTCACCGTGTTGACCAGGATGGTCTCGATCTCTTGACCTCGTGATCCACCCGCTTCGGCCTCCCAAAGTGCTGGGATTACAGGCGTGAGCCACCGCGCCCGGCCTAATTTTTGTATTTTTAATAGAGACAGGATTTCCCCATGTTGGCCAGGCTGGTCTCAAACTCCTGACCTCAGGTGATCCACCCACCTCAGCCTCCCAAAGTGCTGAATTACAGTCATGACCCACTGCACCCAGCCTCATTGGTCATTTTTAAAATGATTTTTTTTTTTTAAATCAGCATGTGAGGCAGCCCAATATTGAACAGAACATGGAGTGTTTGAGAAAGCAAAAGAAGCTGCAGGAATGCAGAGATAAGTGAGCCTGAAGTCACGGGGACAGGATGTGGCTGGGAAAATCAGCATGTCCAGACCAAAGAGAGGGGTGTGGGTCTGATTCTACCTGAAGATAAACGGGAAGGGCTCTGAGGAAAAAATGATGTTTCACCTTACAATGAGATATTAAAAGAAAAATTTTGAACACAGTTTAAAAATTGTGGACGGTACAATGGTCATGTTTGTGCTTTCAAAAATCACGCATTCCTGGCGTCAGGAAGGGAGAGGGCAGCCGGGGCATGGACAGGCAGAAGCCGGCCTCAGGGAGCCGTGGAGGGGAGACGTGCAGTCACTTGGGGGAGATGCAGGAAAAGTAAAGGAAGAGAGGGAAAGATGAGAAAAATTTAGAGTGAAATCACCAGCACTGGGTGACAGGATGCATCTAGGAGGATGGAGAAGAGGATGAATCTTCAGAGTCTGCCCTTGGTGACTGTCACATTCCCCGCCAAGGAGCTGCCGTGGGAAGTGTGGGCTCATCTGGGGAAAGCTCCCGGGCTCAGCCTTGGTCATGTTGGATTTGAACCATCATTGTGGAAATCGGTGTGTGGAAGTGACACCTGCACTCCCGTGATGACTGCAGCACGACCCACAGCAGCCAAGACGTGGAAATAACCTGAGCGTCCACCCACAAATGAACAGATAAGGAAAATGTGGTGTGCATATGCAGTGGAATATTATTCAGCCCAGAAAAAGAAGGATGTTCTGTTACTCACAACAACATGGATGAACTGGAGGATATTACCCTAAGTGAAATAAGCCAGGCACAGAAAGACAAATGCCACATGTGGAATCTAAAATAAAGTTCATCTCGGCCGGGCGCGGTGGCTCACAACTGTACTCCCAGCACTTTGGGAGGCCGAGGCAAGTAGATCACCTGAGGTCAGGAGTTCGAGACCAGCCTGGCCAACATGATGAAATCCCATCTCTACCAAAAATACAAGAATTAACCAGGCATGTTGGCACATGCCTGTAATCCCAGCTACTTGTGAGGCTGAGGCAGGAGAATCACTTGAATCCAGGCGACAGAGGTTGCAGTGAGCCAAGATCGCGCCACTGCACTCCAGCCTGGGTGACGAGAGTGAAACTGTGCCTCAAAAAAAAAAGGAGGTCATCTCACAGAGGTAAAGAGTAGAATAATGGTGTTAGAGGCTGGAGGTGGAGGGCCTGAGAGAGACACTGATCAAATGATACAAACTTTCAATGAGACAGGAGGAGTAAGTTTTGCGATCTATTGCACAGCAGGCTGATTATAGTTAAGGATCACTTATCATATATTTCAAAATTGCTAAAAGTACATTTTGAATGTTCTCATCACAGTAAGTATGTGATGTGATTGATATGTTAGTTAGTCTTGTTTAATCTGTCCACAATGTTTACATACATTGTAACATCACATTGTATCCCATAAACATATCCAATTCTTTGTCAATCAAAAAAAAAAGATTTTTAAAAATAAGAAAAGCAAAATGCAACAGGTGGAGAATAAAGGAGAGAAAGGGGTGAGGGCTGTGCATTTCACATTTGGAATCATTTGCAGTCTAGGGTACATTTCAGGGGATCCCTCCAGGCCTTCTGAGAATCAACATCACTCCCACCCAGAACTGCCCTTGGGGTACAGAGGGGACTGGGGAGACGGGATGAAGATGGGACTCACCCTCCTGCATGTGGATCGTCTGGGCCAGGCAGAGCACTGGAAGAGAAGCCACAGTGAGAGAAATGCCCACCACCCAGTCCTCATATGGGGCTGCTATCAAAAGGGGGCTCCATGCAGCTGGGGGCATTCAGCATTTCCTAACGACCAAACCACCCCTCCTCCACATCACTGTCTGAGTATAATCCTTCTTGCTGCAAAATGGTTTCAAGATAAATCCCAAAGTCTCCTCTTCCAAAAAGGCTCCTGCTCCCCAAGCCCTTTTTAATTTTTTGGAGATGGAGTTTCGCTCTTGTGTCCCAGGCTGCAGTGCAGTGGCACGATCTCGGCTCACTGCAACCTCTGCCTCCTGGGTTCAAGCGATTCTCCTGTCTCAACCTCCTGAGTAGCTGGGACTACAGGCACGCGCCACCATGCCCAGCAAATGTTTTGTATTTTTAGTAGAGACAGCGTTTCACCATGTTGACCAGGATGGTCTCGATCTCTTGACCTCATGATCCCCCCGCCTCGGCCTCCCAGAGTGCTGGGATTACAGGCTTGAGCCACTGCGCCAAGCTTATTTTTATTTTTGAGACAGAGTCTTGCTCTGTTGCCCGGGCTAGAGTGCAGTGGCACGATCTCGGCTCACTGCAACCTCCGCCTCCTGGGTTCAAGCGATTCTCCTGCCTCAGCCTCCCGAGTAGCTGGGATGACAGGCACGAGCCACCACGCCCGGCTATTTTTGTATTTGTAGAGACGGGGTTTTACCACGTTGGCCTGGCTGGTCTCAAACTCCTGACCTCAGGTGATACACCCTCCTCGGCTCCCAAGGTGCTGGGATTACAGGCGTCAGCCACTGCGCCCGGCACCCTAGTCCCTCTTACAGCTGACCTCATCCCCACACCCAGGCCCCTGCTTTTAGGACAAGGTCTTCTCTGGTCAGACTTAGGCCCTGGGCAGAGCAGCAGGGCAGTCTTGGGGGAGGAGGAGACTTCCCCCCCCAGAATCCTCAGGACTGGAGTCAGGCTTGAGCAGGGAACTTTCCAGCCCTCCCCGCTGCCTCCAGGACTCACCTAGGCCCAGGAGGGCGGTGGGATGGGGAGACATGACCCCGGTCCCAGACTGCAGCAGACGCGAGCAGGCGGTATGTGCTGGCCGGGCGCCTCCTGCCTGTGGGGTTCCCACCCACCGCAGCTGCCTCACACCAGAGGAAGAGCTTTTTATTCTGTTCTTTTCACACTTCTCACTAGTGAGACGGGAGGGAGGGCCGTGCTTTCTGAAAAAGGTCACCGCATGATAAGATGACGCTAACCTAGTTACCCCATGTGTCGCCTCTTTCTAAATCTATGGGAGCAGGGAACTTTCCAGACCTCCCGACCCCGCTCCCTCCAGGACTCACCTAGGCCCAGGAGGGCGGTGGGGCGGGGGTACATGGCAGAATAAAGGTCCTTGTCCTATGGGGACATGCAACAAACTGACTTGGACACCATCCCAACTCCACAAGTCAACGGCCGCAGCTCTTGGGCAAGACGTTACAAACCCAGAAGCTGACATTTCCTCATATTTGAAATGGGAGCCACAGAAACCCTTCTCCAAGTTTTTAATATTGTGATCTTTGCTAAAATCGCAACAAGGTATTTAACATGTTAAAAACATCCTGCAGTGGATATTATTTGTTTAAGGCGACAGTATTGGTGAGGATGTGGAGAAACTGGATCCCTTGCATACTTTGGTGGAAATGAAAAATTGTGCAATCACTGTAGAGAACAGTGCAGAGGTTCCTTAAAAAATTAAAAATAGAACTACCAGCCAGGCGTGGTAGCTCAGGCTTGTAATCCCTGAACTTTAGGAGGCTGAGGCGGGCGGATCATGAGGTCAAGAGATTGAGATCATCCTGGTCAACATGGTGAAACCGTCTCTACTAAAAATACAAAAATTAGCTGGGCATAGTAGCATGCACCTGTAGTCCTAGCTGCTGAGGAGGCTGAGGCAGGCAGAGAACCGCAACTGAGCAGTATGGAGGGGAAATGTGTGGTTGGAGTTCCCACCTGGGCACTGGGTGCAAAGAGAGGCACCACCCCCAGACCCAGAATGGTGGAGCCACCGGCAGCTTGCAAGCTCTGTGTGGAAAAGCCACGGGGACGGAGCTGCCTGCAGCCTTGTGAACCAAGCAAACCTCTTATCAGTGTACCCCGGATGTGGGACATGGAGTCAAGGATTGCTTTAGAGCTTTAGGAGTTTGTGACTGCCCTGCTGGATTTCAGACTCGGGTGGGGCTGTTAGCCCCTTTCTTTTGGCCGATTTCTCCCTTTGGGAATAGGAGTGCTCCCAGTGCCTATGCCCCCATTGTATCTTGGGGATAAATGGCTTGTTTTGATTCTACAGGATCATAAGTGGAAGGAACTCCTTTCCAGATGAGACTTTGGACTTGGACTTGGGACTTTGGACTTTTTGTTGTTGATGTTGTTGAGACGGAGTCTTGCTCTGTCACAGGGCTGGAGTGCAGTGGCGCAATCTCTGCTCACTGCAACCTCCACCTCCCGGGTTCAAGTGATTCTCCTGCCTCAGCCTCCTGAGTAGCTGGGACTACAGGTGCATGCCACCGTGCCCAGCTAAGTTTTGTATTTTTAGTAGAGACAGGGTTTCACCATGTTGCCCAGAATGGTCTCAATCTCCTGACCTTGTGGTCCGAAGAAAGAGGAGAAACAGAAAACATTTGTGCACTTGCAAAATGTACTTACACATGTTATTTCTGTCCAGATCTTTGGCTAAAAATAGTCATTACAGTCAGCTACACATGGATGCAAAGGAGACTAGAAAAAATGTCCCTTGGTGTGGGGTAGCCACCTCCCAGAGATTCGAGTGCAGTGTAAGGGGAAATACAGAATGTTTTTTTCTGGTGAGCAGCCACACATCTCTGCCTATTGTGAAAAATAATCTCAAGAAGTGTACCTGAGAACGTCTAGCCAAGGAGCACGATGTTGTAACACCCTGATTGATGGACCATCTGGAGTGACTGACAGACCATCTGGGGTGATTGATGGACCATCCGGAGTGATTGACGGACCATCTGGGGTGATTGACAGAACATCTGGGGTGACTGACAGACCATCTGGGGTGATTGATTCCTCTGTACTTAGAAGGACACCAAAACCAACATTTCAAGTAATATTAACAGAAAAATTGTCATCTTCCCTCTGGAGCCCATGCAAGTCTTAGTTAACCTGAAGTAGAAGCCACTAGAACCGAGGGAGGCAGCTGTGTGCACGCTGGTGGTCTTCTCCCCTCCCAGTTCTAGTTCTGGAGTTCGATGAAGGAAGGGGTCTACATGGCCCCCTAAGTTTCCTCTTTCTCTAAACTGGGGGTGCAGAATCTGAACCTGGGCAACTCACCAAGCCCCCTTTTAACAGGAGGTCATAGGATGTTGTTTCTTTAGCGCACTTCCTACATCAGCAGATATGGCTCTCGTTGCAGCAAAACTCACGGCTCCCTTATGGGGTGGCGAGTTTTCCCTGGCGGCCACTGCCCCCTGAGGGACTGTATCATCCTTCTTGCCCCCAGCTGTGGCCTCGTGACTCATTCCCGCACTTGGAATGCGAGCAGCAGTGATGAGTGACATTCAGATTTTTTATTTAAAAGGCACGGTCCAGACTGGGCTACAGAGTGAGACCCCATCTCAAAATAAATAAATAAATAATAAATAAATAAATAAATATAGGGGCCTTGACCCTGAGAGCCCGCCCAGGAGCCACTGAGCACTGTGGGGTGTAGTCAGGGGCTGAGGGCTTAGGAGCCGGTGACAGGAAACGCAGCGTGGGGGGGGCTGCGGGAGACGTGGAGGGAAGAGAAAGTTTCTGTGAAACCACAGTCAGCAGATGATTTGCCTGTCGTAAGTTGCGTGGACTCCAATAATGAGGAACAGCATGTGCATGGATTGAGCAGGAGTGTCCAAAAGGCCAAATAAAGTTTTGGCATTTTACCCTCAGGAGAGTGGGAAGGGTTTTGAACGTAAGTGTGGCGTCATCATATTTTTGTCTAAAATGTATTTCTAAGACCACTTCCTGAAGTCAGACTTGCAAGAAGCAATCAAAGTAAGAGGTTACGTTTTCTGAGCCCTTACTCTATGCCAGACACTGCTCTGAATCCCCTGTATGGGTAGTTTATTTTTTTATTTTATTTTATTTTTGAGACAGTTTCACTCTTGTTACCCAGGCGGGAGTGCAATGGCGCGATCTCGGCTCACCGCAACCTCCGCCTCCTGGGTTCAGGAAATCTCCTGCCTCAACCTCCTGAGTAGCTGGGATTACAGGCACGCACCACCATGCCCAGCTAATGTTTTGTATTTTTAGTAGAGATGGGGTTTCACCATATTGACCAGGATGGTCTCGATCTCTTGACCTAGTGATCCACCCGCCTCGGCCTCCCAAAGTGCTGGGATTACAGGCGTGAGCCACCGCGCCCGGCTAGTTTACTTAATTTTCACAACTTTGGAAAGGTGTTTTCATCACTAGATTCATTTTACAGATGAGAACACTGAACTCAGAGGTTGAGTCATTTGATTAGTGTCATTCATTAACATGCATGGATTTCATGGATGGAACTGGGTTTCCACCCAGGAAGGAAGTATGTCCTTACCTATTATTATTATTATTATTGAGATGGAGTCTCACTCTGCCACTCAGGCTGGAGTACAGTGGTGCGATTGCAGCTTGCTGCAACCTCCGCCTCCCGGATTCAAGCAATTCTCCTTGTTTCAGCCTCCCAAGGAGCTGGGATTACAGGTGCGTGCCACCATGCCTGGCTAATTTTTGTATTTTTAGTGGAAATGGGGTTTTACTATGTTGGCCAGACTGGTCTGGAACTCCTGACCTTAGGTGATCCATCTGCCTCCACCTCCCACAGTGTTGGGATTACAGGTGTGAGCCACCGTGCCTGGCCGTCCTTCCCTATTATTGATATGTCATTATATTTCTTAAAGAACACAAGAAAAATCCAGTGTGGATAGACCAGTTAGAAAGTTCTTGCCTTCCAGGACAGTGATGAGTTGTTTGGATGGGAAGGATCACAGCAGGAATTTCAGTAAGTATGTGGATTTATGACTGGGAGGTAGGCTCAAAAGAAATGCTGATGGAAGTTTGGCTTTCAGAAGTATCTGACTAGGTTGTGTTAGACTAAACTTCTCACTATTAAAACAAATTTTTTTTAAAGATGAACAAAAACCAAGGAACATCTGTCAGTAGAAAGTGGCACGCTTCCAAGGCAGAGAGAATTTAGGTTTCCAAGAAATGGCGAAGGAAGGAAGCCAAGTAAGGAGATGATATCATTTAGGGTTAGCTTTATATTAACGGTTTGCCGATTCTGAAAC